TAAAAAACAACATGCAATTTTCATGATCCCTCTTATTTTGTTTCAATGATTAACACTTTGCACATTCTGCAAGGGGTATGTAAACTTATGAGCACAGCTGTGTATCGTCTTTGGAAGGTGTAAGACCATAAAATGTTTGTCCAATCATACCCCTCGGTCCTGCCTGTGCACGTTCACGTGTTTTGGAGGCGTGGCTTTGGAGAGTGATTTGCAGGGAGGGTGGGATCTTATGCTTTCAAAGCTAGCTGGCTAATTGCTAGCCTCTCCAAAACCGTCTACCCTACCTTTAAATTTAATAAATGCAAAAAAAGTCCCAGTGCAAAATAAAAAATTAACAGTTTTTTAGAAGCTGTTGGCACCGATAGCCTTGTGGGCAGTGCGCCGACATACAGCGCCATTGCGCTACGGGTGTCCCGTGTTCGAGTCCCGACTCGAGGACCTTTCCCGATCCCGTCCCCCTTCTCTCTCCCACTTCACTTCCTGTCAATTCTGATCTGTCGGGGGGGGGATCTTTAAAAAAAAGATTTGATTCAAAATATTTATATTTTTTATTTCAAACTATGCTGTGTTATATCCACTGTATGCACAATAAGGTTTACCTAGCCTTTATTTGAGAAAACATGATTCCCAGTGTGCACAAACTTAATAGATTACTTACAACATTTACATCCTTTTTACTAATGTTTTTAAAAATATATATTTCTGAAAATAAATTATAAATTTAAATTAAAAAAATTAACTTGCAAAATTAATAATATAAGTTCAAATTATTTTTTAATATTGATTGATTTTGATTATTTCAAATTTAGTAAATACGTAAAATAAATCTAAATTTAATTGCAGCAATTGTTATGCATGTATGTTATTTAAATTATATAGTGTAAAATCATATATATCTGCTTTATATCACCCATTGATCATCCTGCTCTCCAAGAAGATATTGGCACTGGCATCAGTCTTTAAAACAATATAAATCGGTTGACTACTACTGACCACTTGTGTTTGGACGACCAAAAGAGCATATTAATAGGTGTAAACAAGACCAAAATTCCTAATCGTTGAAAAAGGTCATGGCCATCCAGTTCCTCAAATCTTTTACCTCATCTCCTTGGTTTCTTCATAAATTGATTTGATTCAAAATATTTATATTTTTTATTTCAAACTATGCTGTGTTATATCCACTGTATGCACAATAAGGTTTACCTAGCCTTTATTTGAGAAAACATGATTCCCATTGTGCACAAACTTAATAGATTACTTACAACATTTACATCCTTTTTACTAATGTTTTTAAAAATATATATTTCTGAAAATAAATTATAAATTTAAATTAAAAAAATTAACTTGCAAAATTAATAATATAAGTTCAAATTATTTTTTAATATTGATTGATTTTGATTATTTCAAATTTAGTAAATACGTAAAATAAATCTAAATTTAATTGCAGCAATTGTTATGCATGTATGTTATTTAAATTATATAGTGTAAAATCATATATATCTGCTTTATATCACCCATTGATCATCCTGCTCTCCAAGAAGATATTGGCACTGACATCAGTCTTTAAAACAATATAAATCGGTTGACTACTACTGACCACTTGTGTTTGGACGACCAAAAGAGCATATTAATAGGTGTAAACAAGATCAAAATTCCTAATCGTTGAAAAAGGTCATGGCCATCCAGTTCCTCAAATCTTTTACCTCATCTCCTTGGTTTCTTCATAAATCTCTTCAAAAAACTGCTACAGAGCAGTACCTAAAGTACCTTTTCACCTCCCAAGAGTCCCAACTCAATTACCACTCTCAATTATCCACTTACTTGGAAACCCCAGGAAGAAGTTGCCTTTGGGTGAACGCTGACCTCACATAGCAGGACTCCACTGTGTGTCTGTGTGTGTGAGAGATCTGCAGGACCCTGAAGTGGAACTCGCTACTACAAACACTCCCAGCATGTGAACTAATTAATCTTCCCAATCACCAGCCTGTGGGCATCACGGCTGTTTTCATTCAAGCAGGTTATTTAAAGAAAAACAGAGGAGCGAGAGGGAAGGAAACGCCTGTCTAGACGCCAGCCCGGGCAAGCCGTACATTTTCCAGGGGCTCTCCAGCAACGTGTGCTATTTCTCTCTCGCTTCCCTTCCGTGTCACCCAGCCACCCCCTCTCCACCTTGAGCAGCCGCTACAGGTTCACTAAATAAACACGCCAGGTGAATGAGAAATGATGGCAGCCCCTCAGCAAAACAGGTCTCCACGGCCGAGCGGCTCTCTTTAACACGCCTTGTCGTCATCTGCTCATTCTCCAGCACAAAGACACACTTGGCTAATCAATCACCCGGGCAGCTCCGCAGGTCTGCCTGGGAGGCAGTGCAGCGCTGGCTTACTGCAAACACTCACTCTGTGATTTTAGGGTCAATGTTGCCGATCCAGAGCCGATGACCGTCCTGTGCCGAGCCACCTGACAGGATGGAGGCATTCTCCACAGTCTCTGCAGCAGACTGCATTAGGCTCCTGAGAAAAGACAGAGAGCTGTTTCAATGACGCTCAGGTAAGTATGTGCCTCAGGTATTTGATGTGTTTGAATATATATGTAACATTCTTCTTTCTATCTATCTATCTATCTAAAGTTTCTTTCAATCAAACTATCAATCTGTCCATCTGTATCTGTCTTTATATCAGTCAATCTGTTTATCTATCTATCTGACATTTTTATAAATTCAGTTATTATTTTGTCTTGTGGAGTATATGTAAACATCTGTTATGTGAAACAGCCTATTCAGGACAGTACTTAATAAAAAACAACATGCAATTTTCATGATCCCTCTTATTTTGTTTCAATGATTAACACTTTGCACATTCTGCAAGGGGTATGTAAACTTATGAGCACAGCTGTGTATCGTCTTTGGAAGGTGTAAGACCATAAAATGTTTGTCCAATCATACCCCTCGGTCCTGCCTGTGCACGTTCACGTGTTTTGGAGGCGTGGCTTTGGAGAGTGATTTGCAGGGAGGGTGGGATCTTATGCTTTCAAAGCTAGCTTGCTAATTGCTAGCCTCTCCAAAACCGTCTACCCTACCTTTAAATTTAATAAATGCAAAAAAAAGTCCCAGTGCAAAATAAAAAATTAACATTTTTTTAGAAGCTGTTGGCACCGATAGCCTTGTGGGCAGTGCGCCGACATACAGCGCCATTGCGCTACGGGCGTCCCGTGTTCGAGTCCCGACTCGAGGACCTTTCCCGATCCCGTCCCCCTTCTCTCTCCCACTTCACTTCCTGTCAATTCTGATCTGTCGGGGGGGGATCTTTAAAAAAAAGATTTGATTCAAAATATTTATATTTTTTATTTCAAACTATGCTGTGTTATATCCACTGTATGCACAATAAGGTTTACCTAGCCTTTATTTGAGAAAACATGATTCCCATTGTGCACAAACTTAATAGATTACTTACAACATTTACATCCTTTTTACTAATGTTTTTAAAAATATATATTTCTGAAAATAAATTATAAATTTAAATTAAAAAAATTAACTTGCAAAATTAATAATATAAGTTCAAATTATTTTTTAATATTGATTGATTTTGATTATTTCAAATTTAGTAAATACGTAAAATAAATCTAAATTTAATTGCAGCAATTGTTATGCATGTATGTTATTTAAATTATATAGTGTAAAATCATATATATCTGCTTTATATCACCCATTGATCATCCTGCTCTCCAAGAAGATATTGGCACTGACATCAGTCTTTAAAACAATATAAATCGGTTGACTACTACTGACCACTTGTGTTTGGACGACCAAAAGAGCATATTAATAGGTGTAAACAAGACCAAAATTCCTAATCGTTGAAAAAGGTCATGGCCATCCAGTTCCTCAAATCTTTTACCTCATCTCCTTGGTTTCTTCATAAATTTCTTCAAAAAACTGCTACAGAGCAGTACCTAAAGTACCTTTTCACCTCCCAAGAGTCCCAACTCAATTACCACTCTCAATTATCCACTTACTTGGAAACCCCAGGAAGAAGTTGCCTTTGGGTGAACGCTGACCTCACATAGCAGGACTCCACTGTGTGTCTGTGTGTGTGAGAGATCTGCAGGACCCTGAAGTGGAACTCGCTACTACAAACACTCCCAGCATGTGAACTAATTAATCTTCCCAATCACCAGCCTGTGGGCATCACGGCTGTTTTCATTCAAGCAGGTTATTTAAAGAAAAACAGAGGAGCGAGAGGGAAGGAAACGCCTGTCTAGACGCCAGCCCGGGCAAGCCGTACATTTTCCAGGGGCTCTCCAGCAACGTGTGCTATTTCTCTCTCGCTTCCCTTCCGTGTCACCCAGCCACCCCCTCTCCACCTTGAGCAGCCGCTACAGGTTCACTAAGTAAACACGCCAGGTGAATGAGAAATGATGGCAGCCCCTCAGCAAAACAGGTCTCCACGGCCGAGCGGCTCTCTTTAACACGCCTTGTCGTCATCTGCTCATTCTCCAGCACAAAGACACACTTGGCTAATCAATCACCCGGGCAGCTCCGCAGGTCTGCCTGGGAGGCAGTGCAGCGCTGGCTTACTGCAAACACTCACTCTGTGATTTTAGGGTCAATGTTGCCGATCCAGAGCCGATGACCGTCCCGTGCCGAGCCACCTGACAGGATGGAGGCATTCTCCACAGTCTCTGCAGCAGACTGCATTAGGCTCCTGAGAAAAGACAGAGAGCTGTTTCAATGACGCTCAGGTAAGTATGTGCCTCAGGTATTTGATGTGTTTGAATATATATGTAACATTCTTCTTTCTATCTATCTATCTATCTATCTAAAGTTTCTTTCAATCAATCTATCAATCTGTCCATCTGTATCTGTCTTTATATCAGTCAATCTGTTTATCTATCTATCTGACTGTCTATCCATCCGACTGAGTCTACGTATCTGACTGTCTATCCATGGGCAGCTCCGCAGGTCTGCCTGGGAGGCAGTGCAGCGCTGGCTTACTGCAAACACTCACTCTGTGATTTTAGGGTCAATGTTGCCGATCCAGAGCCGATGACCGTCCTGTGCCGAGCCACCTGACAGGATGGAGGCATTCTCCACAGTCTCTGCAGCAGACTGCATTAGGCTCCTGAGAAAAGACAGAGAGCTGTTTCAATGACGCTCAGGTAAGTATGTGCCTCAGGTATTTGATGTGTTTCCATCCGACTGAGTCTACATATCTGACTGTATCCATCTGACTGTCTATCCATCCGACTGAGTCTACGTATCTGACTGTCTATCCATCCGACTGAGTCTACGTATCTGACTGTCTATCCATCCGACTGAGTCTACGTATCTGACTGTCTATCCATCCGACTGAGTCTACGTATCTGACTGTCTATCCATCCGACTGAGTCTACGTATCTGACTGTCTATCCATCCGACTGAGTCTACGTATCTGACTGTCTATCCATCCGACTGAGTCTACGTATCTGACTGTCTATCCATCCGACTGAGTCTACGTATCTGACTGTCTATCCATCCGACTGAGTCTACGTATCTGACTGTCTATCCATCCGACTGAGTCTACGTATCTGACTGTCTATCCATCCGACTGAGTCTACGTATCTGACTGTCTATCCATCCGACTGAGTCTACGTATCTGACTGTCTATCCATCCGACTGAGTCTACGTATCTGACTGTCTATCCATCCGACTGAGTCTACGTATCTGACTGTCTATCCATCCGACTGAGTCTACGTATCTGACTGTCTATCCATCCGACTGAGTCTACGTATCTGACTGTCTATCCATCCGACTGAGTCTACGTATCTGACTGTCTATCCATCCGACTGAGTCTACGTATCTGACTGTCTATCCATCCGACTGAGTCTACGTATCTGACTGTCTATCCATCCGACTGAGTCTACGTATCTGACTGTCTATCCATCCGACTGAGTCTACGTATCTGACTGTCTATCCATCCGACTGAGTCTACGTATCTGACTGTCTATCCATCCGACTGAGTCTACGTATCTGACTGTCTATCCATCCGACTGAGTCTACGTATCTGACTGTCTATCCATCCGACTGAGTCTACGTATCTGACTGTCTATCCATCCGACTGAGTCTACGTATCTGACTGTCTATCCATCCGACTGAGTCTACGTATCTGACTGTCTATCCATCCGACTGAGTCTACGTATCTGACTGTCTATCCATCCGACTGAGTCTACGTATCTGACTGTCTATCCATCCGACTGAGTCTACGTATCTGACTGTCTATCCATCCGACTGAGTCTACGTATCTGACTGTCTATCCATCCGACTGAGTCTACGTATCTGACTGTCTATCCATCCGACTGAGTCTACGTATCTGACTGTCTATCCATCCGACTGAGTCTACGTATCTGACTGTCTATCCATCCGACTGAGTCTACGTATCTGACTGTCTATCCATCCGACTGAGTCTACGTATCTGACTGTCTATCCATCCGACTGAGTCTACGTATCTGACTGTCTATCCATCCGACTGAGTCTACGTATCTGACTGTCTATCCATCCGACTGAGTCTACGTATCTGACTGTCTATCCATCCGACTGAGTCTACGTATCTGACTGTATCCATCTGATTGTCTATCCATCCGACTGAGTCTACGTATCTGACTGTCTATCCATCCGACTGTCTACGTATCTGACTGTCTATCCATCCGACTGTGTCTACGTATCTGACTGTCTATCCATCTGACTGTCTATCTATCTGACTGACTCTACGTATCATCTGACTGTCTATCCATCCGACTGAGTCTACGTATCTGACTGTCTATCCATCCGACTGTGTCTACGTATCTGACTGTCTATCCATCCGTCTGTGTCTATGTATCTGACTGTCTATCCATCCAATAATTTATCTACCTATCGGACTCTATCTATCTATCTATCTATCTATCTATCCATCTTTTTGACTTTCTATCTATCTGTCTATCAATCTATCTATCTAGACAAAAGTATATATCACATAACAGATCCCCTTTACATAACTGATCTGATTGATAGCCACACGTTTTATGTTATAATACATTCTGTTATGAGAGTGTGATACATGCAGAAGAGTTATATCTTAGGCCCCTTAGTGTGATAATAATCACGACCATTACGTTAAATGCAGTATGAAGACTATAATAATATCAACGATATTTGACAAATTATGTAATTCTGAAACAAGCACGATTAGTATGCAAACACTGTCATATTATAGAAAAACTGTAACTGATAAATAACATAAACCTAGCCGAGAAATAATTAATTTTCCACATGAATGGTTGTTATGCTAACAACTAGCAAGCAATGTTAACAGATTACATAGATTAGCAGAGCACTCACCCTTCTCTCGTGTCCCTCTCCTCTGCTCTTTAAACCTAAACTAAAGATACTGTGTACAAAATTTGGTGGCAATGCCTCAAAGCCTAAAATTCATCTCGTAAATCTGCCACACGAACGAGTCAGACACAACATTGAGTGTAACGTTAGACAGTTAGCTTAGCATTCATAACATCAACAACGGCGCCGGAGAGTGACGTTAACAACCGCTTCTGATGACGCACAACACTGAAATGCGATGACGCACAACACTGAAATGCGATGACATGTGCCCTTGAGCTGCCCATGTTGTCAATAAGGGACTGTACTACAAGCCATGACTGCTAAGACACGTTTTTCTACATGAGGAAAGTGAGTATGTGTGAATTACACTCGTGTTGTTTATTACATTAGCGGGATTAATTTATGTGTACTGGCTGTGTATGTTTATGTTTGTAGCAATGTGTGTGTTTGATTTCTGTAGTGTTCATAATGTAGCCTAGCAGCATGGCACTGCTCTCAGTCTCTGTCAGCTGACAGATGCTTGGAGTACATTGTTATGTACTGCAGTGTGCTAATGCAGACTTGACTTGAGGTCAAATGAACAGCCTGTCTGTGCTGAAAAAAAAACATGGAAAATTCGTGTCCCTTTAAATTATTCCTTGGGTAATGCTTGGAAACATTGTTATTAATACCACAGGGCATACATAAATGGAAGGCAAAGGAGAGCGCGTGCTGTTGTTTTAGTTTCAGAACATAATATCCATATATCATTGGTTAAAGGTGCTGTTATAGGTTGCCATACTAAGATGAGGAATATTTCACTTTTTCACCAACTCATGCTTCTGTTCTTTAAATGTTCACTTTTAAGCGTTTTCCTCTCATAGATGATGGATCATACACTTTAAAGCCGCTTACTTCTCATGACTGTATGGAAAATACAATAATATTTAATTAGCGAGGCTATAGGTTTTAGATTTAAAAAAAAAAGAAACTGGAAAATAACCTGAGTGCACTGAGCATACATTATATAAATTAAAATAAAAGCATTTTAAATGATTACGAAATAGAACATTTGTAAAAAAAATAAAAATAAAAAGAACACTGTTCAACCAGTTTTATAATGATTATATATTATAAATAACTGGCCATGGTTATTATTTTTGCAGCAACCCTCTATTTTAAGGCTGCTTAATTAAAGACAGCTCATATCACGTCATTATTTATTTACCTCATTTTATTTATTTATTTTTATTCATTTTATTTATTAATTTATAAATTTAATATTTCATAATAATAATTAATTTATCCAAAAATACATTAAAATACTATTCTTAAAATAATGGCTTGAATAAACATTTTGTATGATAATACTTTTTTTAATATCTGAATTAAAAGTAATTTTGATTTTGACCTTTTGGGACATAAATACCATACTATATATTTTTTTGCAACAACTGTATTTCCAGGCTTTTTAATTAAAGGCACAGCTCACCTAAAAAGGAATATCATGTCATTATTTATTCATTCATTTCATTTTGCTGGTTAAACACATAAGAGAATTTTCACAGAATGTACACGCTGCCCTTTTCCATGCCATTCTAATGAATGGTGACCAAAGGTTGTTAAAGGAATAGTTCACTCAGAAATCGTTCTGCGATTCTCTGTGACTAAAGCGGTGTAGATTACTTGGTGTGGATGTTTTATCAGCTGTTTGGCTCTCATTCTGACGGCACCCATTTACTGCAGATGATCCATTGATGAGCAAGTGATGTAATGCTACATTTCTCCAAATCTGATAAAGAAACAAACTCATCTACATCTTGGATGGCCTGAGAGTTAATACATTTTCAGCAAACTTTCATTTTTGGGTGAACAATTCCCTCAACAACCCTTATTTACCATTCACTTGCATTGTAAAAGAGCAGCTGGAGCATTCTGCTAAACACCTCCTCTAACAGATGAACAGATGTTCAACAGATGAAATGAAGGTAAATAAATAACGACATGCTATTTCTTTTTGGGTGAGTTATGCCTTTAATTAAAAAGCTTTGAAATACAGTTACTGTTACGAGCAGTGGCTTAAACATCATGAAATCCAACCACTGGTTTATATTACTGCAACCAAACTGATATGCAACACTGTCTCTGTTTTTACAGTAAGAACTTTTAAGAGTTCACACTGTAAACATTTCTTTCATGAGGTGAGCTCACGCAATGAGGGTACGCCAACCGCTCTAATTCCTACCGGTATAAATCAAACGGCGGCGCACTGTAACCCACAGACCACCTGTGCAACAGTTTTTCTGCTTGACGGCCTCTCTAAAAACTGCCATCACCTCTTCTCCATCCACACCCCGTGGACCAAAACACCCGTGTCGGACAACTCCCATGACTCCTAAGTCACGCTTTTCATTTTTTGATCTGCGTCTAACCAGAACAGCTGCGGCTCCCATTGAACCTGCAACAAGCATCATCAAGGGCCGATAAAAATCGCAGCTTGTGCGTGTTTGGGGAAAAAGCTGCAGTGGCTGCTGTTAGACCCGTGCCACAAAGTTATCTTTATCACAGCAACTGTAAAAACACACGGCCAAAAACATGTTTCAGTCTCTATCCTGGCTGGCTGTGTTTTGACTAGCGGGATACCTCACGCTAGACAAAATCAAAGAAGCAATGACAGAGGCGCAAGCAACCCATGAGCTGGCTTGTTCCAGAGCACCTGCAGAACAGCGCTGCTGTTACAGTCCACGCTGATAAACAACCACCGTTTGAAGATTTATGCTACTAAATGAAGCGGCAGTGACACACACATTGCAGGACTCGGAGTCTCCGCTAATGAGCTGATGAGTTGAATCAGATGTGTTCGATTAAGGAGACATCCCAAATGTGCAGTGTTGGGGGACCTCCAGGACCAGGATTGAGGAGCACTGCCCTAACCCGGAGTATTAAACTCAGCACTGTTTGTGCTACAGACATGAATGATACGTCAAATCGTGCGGCTGCAGGGGAGTTGTGCTATTACTTTTCTAAGCCATCAGACTTACAATTTTCACCTGGCGGACTATAAACAAGGTGGAAAAATGTATAAACTTGCATTGAAGAAAAGTCCTGAGACATATCAAGGGACTAGAATATAATAGAAACTCAGGGGTGGACTCTTTTGACTTGAGCCAGGAAGAAACCACCCAGAACACGCTAGCAACATCATAAAAACATCATAAATGGCTAAAATGCCATAAAAACTTCTTGATGAATAAACATTTTTAATTATTGTTTTTTTTATATGGCATGGATTATGTTACATATAACATATAATATTTGACCTTTATATATTAAATCAAATATTTTAATAATTATAAAATGAATATTTTATAACAACAATTAACTAACGCAACTAAAAAACACAATTACAATTAAAATGAATTAACAAAATTCAAAACACAATTCATAAATTCAATTACTTGAATAAAGCCTTTGTATGATCCTTTTTTTCCCCTAATTAAAATTCATGTTTATATTTTGTGGGATATAAATAATATCAAATATATATATATATATAAACTATATATTTTTTCTTTCTTCACCAGATCAAAGTGATGTGGTGCAACTAAATGATATCACAAAGAGGACCCCCTCAGACCCTCATAACTGTCTGTCAAGGTCAATACGTCTTTTAAGTAATTTGACCCTTTATGACAATAAGATACTGAAATTAATAATTAAATAAAAATTAGACAGTGAAATTACAATGGAAATTACAATTAAAAAGTCACAATGGAATTACATCTGACTCATTAAAGTTAAATGCCTTTAACAATGTTTTTTTTTTAAATATAAAACCAACATAAATACAGTAAGTTCATTTCTATGAACTTTGCACATGCATTTTAAAGATGTTTTAAAAATTGTTCCTTTTCTTTATCTTGAACACTCTTATTTGTCCTTTGTCATCCACTTGTATTTGTACTAAAATGACGATCACGCTATGCTTTTGAGTTCAGTTTGACTCTATTGATGAAACTGATGGTGGTTTGCTTGTCTGTCTCTGTTCGGGACTTTTTACAATTTTACAGACACCCCCTGGTGGCAATATTGTGTTGTGGCTAATGTGTTTTACTCTTTCTTATGGAGTATCTATATATAATGTAAAGTTGCTCTACGTGTTTATCATCCTTGCATAAATAATTTTCTCTCCATTTTTTTGTATTGTGACCTCAGACATGGCATTGAGTCATCTTAACCTCCTGCGACCAGTACTGTGCAGATTTCTGCCCTCCGTTGTGAGGAGCCCACTGTTGACTAGTTCAAGAGTCCCCTCTCTGCCCCACACGAGCTGTCCTGCGCTTCTGCCGAATTATGTCCGTCATTATGCCACAAAAAAGAGTAAAGGTGAGTGGAGCACGGCGGCTACTTATCCCTCATAGAGCCACAACAAAGAACGTCCAGCATAGGGGTAGGAGTGATATTGTGTTTGTTTTCCATAGCAGTGCTTGTTTAGGTTCACTCAAGTGGGCTTAGAGCCCATATGAAGGGAGGAGAAATTCCCTCTTTCCCCGTCTGACCTCCAAATCCTGCTTTCATTTGTAATTGCTAAGACAATCAGCCAGCATGCTGGTCACAGTCTTTCATTTCGATCTCCAGCTCTTCTTTTGAAGCCATCAGTGATGAAGACATTAATGTTTCTTTCTTCTTTGTTGCTTTTTATATGTTAGCAAAAGCAAAAGGGCAGACAGCTAAAGTGAACATCAATGCGGCATTGGTGGAGGATATTATCAGCCTGGAGGAGGTGAAGGAAGACATGGCTGCTGTCCTGGCTACTCTAAAAGAAGACTTCAGCCGCAATCTCAGCATTCGCACATCACCAGGTCAGGACCTTGCGAGACACTGACACACAGGCAATCCTGTGCTTTTTAACCTGTAACTGTGATGCTTGGGTCAAGGTTTGACTAGTTAGCCCCCACTGGTAAATGTTGTTACTACACCATCTGGCTGTTGGAAGCCATTCAAAAATATGGGAATATTCTAATGAAATACATTTTTACAAGCTACATTTAACTCATAAATATTTCTGTTTATTATAATAGCTGTATTATCAGTGTTCAGTTATTTTTGGAGAGCTCTTAAAAGCATTGAACTGGAATTGGCAAGAATTGGAACTGGTGGAATTGGAACTGATAATTCTACACAGGCACACAACAGAGGAATTACGTAATCAATTTGGACTAATTATGCCTATTTAGTCACTGATGTGTAGAA